CCGCCGCCTCCTCGCCGTTGCCAGGGAGACGAGCGCGGGCCCTGCCGTGGCGGCGCCCCGCCTCCTCCCGGCCCGGCGGGGCTGTGGCGGGGCCTCACCGCCGCCGGGCACTCGCCTCCACTCTGGCTCCGTCCCGAAGGCGAGGTGGAGCCGTGTGGGCGGTGCGGGTGTGCTCCCCTGGCCTCTCCACAGAGCGCTGCCACCGGCCCCCCTGCAAGGGTGATATTGATGTAGGCGGCTCCATCAATGCGTTTATCAATTTAAATTTCCGCTCGGCGTAGAGACTTAGTGGCAACGCACAGCCCCTCGTGATGGGCCAGTGCGGCTGAGTTGGTGGTTTTTTTTTCAAAGTCTCAAAATAATTGGCGTTTACCTTGCAGCTCCTGTGCACAGGTGGCCTCCTGGCTTCGTGCCTTTGTCAGTCGATATTCCAGTGTCCAGTGCCAAACCAGGCAGCATGAAGCACTTCAAGAAATGGTGTAGTCTCCTAACAGATATTTTCTTTCAGGACAGTTTTCAAACGTTAAACACCTGTAGTTAAAAAAAACCCCACAACCCAGCACAACAACCCCCACAGTTTGGGTCTAAAATGGGAAATCATAAAATCCTCTAGGTTGGAAGGGACCTTTAAGATTGAGTCCGACTATCAATCTAACGCTGCCACAACCACCACTAAACCATGTCCCTCAGCACCACATCTACATGGCTTCTGAATACCTCCAGGGATGGTGATGCAACCACTTCCCTGGGCAGCATGTTTCGATGTTTAATAATCCTTTTGCTGAAGAATGTTTTCCTAATATCCAATCTGAAACTCTCCTGGCTCAACTTGAGGCCATTTATTCTTGTCTTATCATCTGTTACTTGGGAGAAGAGACCAACCTGGACCTCGGTACAACCTTCGGGTAGTTGTAGAGAGTGATAATGTCTCCCTTTAGTCTCCTTTTCTCCAGCTCTCTCAAGCTGCTTTTTATAAGACTCGTTCTCCAGATCCCTCACCAGCTTCATTGACCTTCTCTGGACTCGCTCCACAATCTCAATGTTTTTCCTGTAGTGAGGGGCCCAAAACTGGACACAACACTCAAGATGGGGGCTCACCAGTGCTGAGTACAAGGAGATGATCACTGCCCTAGTCCTGCTCACCACGTGATTTCTGATACAGGACCAATGCGAATGTTTCCAAGTGTAAACTGCAGAGAACTGACAAGAAGGTTTAGCATTTTAAGTTAGCAGGAATATGGAGATTAAAGTGTACATTGCATGTCAGGGACAACCTTAAGAGCTGCATACTAGAAATGTTACATCCTGTGAATTTGTGAGATATTTTATATAAACTAAAACGTCAGGGGAATAATTAGCAGTGGCTCATGTCTAGGTGATGACAAATAAAATATAATGCTAATTTCCAGAAAGGGACTTGAAGAGTAATGATGTGGATGGGTCTACAGCTGGATTTGGGGAAGACGTGGTAAAAATATAGCAACTTTTTGCAAGTTCACTTCCTCCCACAGCTTGGAGTTTTGTTTATGATTGTATATTGTTTCATAGGAATAAAAGATGTGTTTGAAATATTAGAAAACCAGGGGTTATTCAAGAGATGGACCTTATTCTACGCTCTGTGGCTGTAGACTTGGTAAGATAACCTTGGTAAGATTTTGGTAAGACCATTTTTTTTTTTAAAAGAAATTTTTGTGTGGAAAATACAAGGATACAACCTGTCTTCTTAAACACCTACTGAAATATATTTC